TGTGATTTTGTGTCAAGAATCCTTTCAGCTGAGTGAGCACTGCACCAAAAAAAATCTTGTTAAAATGTCAAATGTAATGTAATTTATTCCAATTATGCTGTCAAGTAACATTTGTAATTGTACAGCCTGGGATTTGCAGTCTGAATGTTACATTTAAATCTCAAACTTCTACACAATTGTTAACCTGATTACTGTTAAAGTGAGACGATTTACTGTGTTTCAGTCTCCCCTGGCAAGAAGCAATGCATGTTAAAGGCAAAATATAATAATATTGAGAAAAGCAGAAATGAAACCGACTGTATTGGCATGTGATGCTGGTGATCTTAAAGTTGCTCGTGGGATCTCACATGCCAGCAACCAGACGACTATGTCTCATACAGCGGTGAAAAATGACAACTGCTGCCTACTCAACAACACATCTGGTTGAGATGATCTCACTTTCACTTTCAAAAGATAATGTACTGTAATTTGCGGTAGTCTGTTAATAAATGATATAGTTTGAGGGAAAACTGCAGGACTAATAGACAATAATACAGTAGAGTTCATAGGGAGACTCTAAAATAATTATTTGATCAGAAAGATTGAAATCAAGATGTTTTTTTCATGAAAGACCTGATTTAAGAAAATATTTGCAATCTTGAAATTCTTGTAATGCAAAGAGCCAGCATTAAATAAAATTTTAAAAAAGCAAACATTCAAATCTAAGAACAATCTTTGGACAATTGTCTTACAGCCGCCAAAGATTGCTGCTGTATTACTACTCAAGCTCTTCTGCCCACATTAATAAGGCCTCCACTATGCAGATGTGGTCACATGCAAGAGCGCAAATAAAGAATTGTGGGGCTTTTTTTTCTTTTATTGAAGAGTGTGGTTTTTCCATTTGAGCATATTACTTCACGTTCAGATTTTTTAACACGTTCCCTCAATACCCTGTCCTCGCACTCAAATAGCCCCTGCTTGCACTCAGATTTGTTTCTGCTCAAACTGTACCCTTGCTCTTGGAAATATTCAGGCCTTCTCCTTGCACTCCACACTTCATGTCAAAATGGTTGCTGTAAAAAATGTCTATATTAGTAAAAGAAAAGGTATGAGTGCTGGTGGCGAACATTTCTGCAGCGAGGCAGAGGTCCTTTCTTTAGACAACACTACAGCTGGCATTCTGTTGGTTAGGGACTTTTGAGGATTATTGCACAATAAAAGCGAGAGCAGGCACTTCACAAGCGCACAGAAGCAACCTGAGTGCGAGGAGAAGAAACTGGAGCAAAATAACAATATATCTGTTCTTTCTATGTATTTGTTAAGAGGGATGGTGCCATGGCGATGGAGACAAATGATAATTTTGCTTAAAATGTTGACAGAATATTTTCAACTAATCATTAAATTGTGTATTATATTTTTTATTTAAATGAGAGAAGAAATTTGAGGTTGTAATAAATCTTTTAATATATAATAAATATGAGATGTATAAAACAAACTGTAATTCTATTACATCTGATTAAAGGGGGAATTTTGAACGGCAGTTTAGTGCTGTACCGAGCCATAAATTTTTTTTATTTATTTTTTCTCTATGTTTCAATTTCATAATAGGTAGAGGTGCAAGAAGATACGTATACTTAGTCTTTTGGCATGTAGGACGCACATATGAATGAGATATCTGGAAAACATTAAAGTCTGATGAGTCAGAGCCTGACTAGGAGTACAACCAGATGAATATAACATATTGTCATCTGCATAATAGTACATTCAAATATGTAATAGAGAGTAATTCTGTTGTTGTAAATAATAGTGGATCAAGAATTGACCCCTGTGGCACACGTTACTGATTTACAATGAGCTCTGAATCATTGTCGTCTAATCCTATATACTACCGGGAGGTTTTTATGATCCACGGTATCGTCGGAGGTCAATAGAGTGCTGCTGTATTATTTCTTAGTTTTATTAGTAATATTAGGTATTGAAATTGCGCTGTAAAAATATTGCCCCGTAGTTACCCCTCATGTACATATATTAAATTATAAATCCTGATATGAATCAAAACTGTTCGGCAGTTTGGGTGGCAGTGAACAAAACTCTCCCATGACTCAAATTTATACTGTCTGCAAGGAAACATTTCCCTTTTTCTTCAGCTACCTGAGAAATTTAACAAATATTCTTTCTCTCGACTTCAGGGAAAATGTGTGTAAAGTTACGCTGCGTACCTTTTACGTTTTGTCTGAATGTACATTTAACTGTTAATTAAATTATTGCGGTAATCATTATTGAGTTCGAAATCACATTTAGTTCCACATCTTAGTTTGTCAAGCATACCTGTAAAGTTTAAAGCTTTTGAGAACCAATTTATAGCAGTTAAACTAAAAGAAAACAAAAAATGTATATATCAAATCCCACGTTCTCAAACACACAGACGGCTTTGTTCACAAGACTGTCTACAAACTCTTTACTGCCTCTTACCTTTAAGGGAATCTCCTTCATGTCTGTCTCCACCATCAAATAAAGAGGTTAGAAAACAACATATTACAATAAATGAGCGCTATTTCATATTGCAAGCAGCGTCACACGTAACAGTCACACAGTGAAAGATGAAATGATAAATGGTGATTGTGGAAACTGCCCTACCTATGTAGGGCTCTTAGCACGCGACACTGGCTGATCTGTAGACCTTGAAGCTACCCACGATTTCCCCTGTGCCAACGACCTGATGCCACTCTCACGCAAACCCTGTGCAAAATGACTAAAATATCACAGCTGCTTACTCAAACTGAGGAACTAAAGCTGCAGGTCTCTCACTTTCAACCCGTGTGGAGGAGTTAGTGTTTCCTGATATCGTGACATGAAGTATTCTGCTCAAACTCTGCACAGGCTGGTATTTATAAGAACACTACATGTTTTGGAACAATTATTAGTCCTCACGCAAGTTTTGGCCCAGAATGACTCATAACATACAGACATTCAGCTCAAACTGACTACTTTCATTAACTGTACAGTCTTGGTGCACTTCCTCAGGATTTGAGTTTTAGTCTTCAGCCGTGTATTTAACACTGGATTACATGAGAGCCGCTTCTTCTTTCAAATGTACCAGAACGTTTTTAAAGAGTAATCAGACAGCTGACACTCCTGGCTTAAAGTGGTCTGAAGTGGCAGTTCAGACACTCTGTGGGTTATTAGAGAATAATTAGATGACATTCTGACTGAAATATCAGCTGTAAAACATTGTTCACACATCCTCCCAGATCTGATATATATATATATATAT